CCCGCCGCCCTCCCTCCCAGCCACCGTCCTGCTGACACTGTCCCGCCCGCGGCTCCTCACCTCGGCCCCGCAAGCTGCCAGGCGTTCGGGGAAGGCGCGGAGGCGGCTTCGCACGCGCCCCCACACCGCTCCGTTCGCCGACATGAGCGGCTCTTCCGGGCACCCGTAGGCGCCACCATCTTAGGCCCGTTCTCTTCCGGCGCCCAACAGCTTGATAGGCGGAGACTTCCGGTGATACTCTTTCCTGCACCTCCCAATCGGTCAATCGTCTCCCGGCCTCGAGCCCCTGCCATGGGCCGTTCTCATTGCCTATCTCTGCTCTGAAACTTCGGATTGGTTCAGGCTCAACTTGTTCGCGAAGCCGCCCTCAGGGCCCGCCCCGCCGCGAGCGATTGGCCGACCGAGCCAGTGCCGCACTGTGATTGGAGGGTCCGGGGCCTGGCGGAAGCGGGGCAGGCCGGGAACCGCTGACGATCATGGCGGCCGCGCCGCCGCTGCGGGACCGCCTGGGCTTCCTGCAGCGGGTGAGTGGGCGCGGCCCGCGGCCGGACCCTCCGTGGCGGCCGGGCCGGCACAGCAGCAGGGCCGAACCCCGGAGGCCCCTCGACAGACCCGGGGGCGTGGCGCGGGGATGGACGCGGCGGGGAGGATGGCCCTCGGGTCCCGGGAGACGCGCGTCGGAAGCCCTTGCTAGTGCACGATCTGAGCGGGAGGGTCGGCGTCGCCGCGGCGGGGAAACACGCGGTGGCTCCGGGCGCTCCCGGCGGGGCCCCAAGGGACACGGCCCGAGCCCGCCAGGGGTCCGTGCGAGGGCTGCGGGCCCAACTGTGACCCTGCGGGCTCCCGTGTCGCCATGAGCCCGGACACCTGTTGCTGAAACCGCCGATGCGTGCAGTCCCCCAGGACACCGTCGGAAAGTGGCAAAGTCGAAAGGTGGACCGTCCTTTAAGTTGGGGACCGTCTGTAGCCTGTGCTTAGCACCTGACAGGGCCCACGTGCTCGTCGTCTTAAATGTCCTTGACCTCCTCTGTCTGTCCAGATGCTGAGTGACACCAGAACGAGTACTCTCAGTTTTCGTCCCTAAGAGCAGGATGTTTTGTGCTAATGAGTAAGCGTGTAACGTAAACGCGTCAGTGTTAATGAGCGAACGTAGAACACAGACGTAAGTTGCCGTCTTGGAGCTCGGGAGTTGGTCAGGCTGAGCCATCACCTGGTGCTGCAGATGCGGGCCCTGCAGAAACGCACCCGTTCACAGTCCGCGGGGTGGACAAGGGGCTCGCTCCCCAGCTTTTCTGTCTTGCTAGTCAACAAAGAAGTGTCTTGAAGGTAGCTTCAGATTGTTCCACTCGTCAGTAAGTGCAGGGAGGCTGGGGGCCGTGCCACGTCCTGACCCAAGCAGAGCAGCCCGATGTGTAGGACACTGTTGAGTTGCCTTTTCCCGGGGCCCTTTATCCCTGACCGTCCGCAGGGGACCCTCCTGCAGGCTCCCTGTGGTCGGTGGGGGACGGTTCCCGTCCCTGTCGGGTCCTCTCTGCAGCCTGCGTGTCAGCAGCAGAGCTGGGCCCATTTCCATCACCTTCGGTGACCGTGGGCTCACCCCGTGTAAAGTGGCGACTTATCCCAGGCAGGGGCTCTTGTTTCCTCTCAGCTCCCACTTCTCCTGAAGGGAACGTCGGACGATGACGTCCCGTGTCCAGGCTACCTGTTTGAAGAGATTGCTAGTATCCTTTCTTGATGTCCCCAGTTTGTGGGGGAAGTGGATGGCAGGGGCCCTGCTGTGGCACAGAGGGTTTTACTGGGGGTTTCCTGCAGTCTCGAGGGGGATCCACGGCAGCTTTATCATAGTAACCGGGTGTGGACGGGTCCAAAAGCTGGGATACTGGTGACATGGGGCCCAGGAGACCCTGGAAGCCCAAACGCTCCTGAAACCAGGGCCCTTGATAGGTGCCTGCAGGGAGCGTCAAGCCAGAAGGCCGACGGCTGCAGGAAGGCCAGTTCCTCTCCCTGGTCAGCACACCGCGGTGCAGGCTGCGTCAGCTTGCTGCTTCCTTAACCCGAGCGCATCGTAGAAATCTCCCACGAGTCGCTGGGCAGCAGCCAGTGCCTGCTGGAGTACCTCCTGAAGCGGCTGTGCAGCAGCTCTGGCCACGTGAAGCTCAAGGTGAGGCCCGGGCGGCCCGCGGGTCCTGAGCTCCTGCCTGTGGGCAGTGAGGCCGGATGAGGGGGACATGCAGCCTGCAGTGGCAGATGGCTCTGTGCCGCTGGGGGGTCCTCCCTGGGCTCTGCCCTGGTGTCCCTTGTGCGGCCCGCATAACCGCCCACGTCCCCAGGTGCTGAAGATCTTGCTGTACCTGTGCGGCCACGGCTCCCCGTCCTTCCTGCTCATCCTCAAGCGCAACTCCTCCTTCCTCCAGGAAGCCACAGGTACGCGGGAGCTAGCACGGACAGGCTCAGGGAAAGCTGCGGGGCCGGGGGCGGGGAGAGGAAGACTCAGCCCAAATCCCTCAGCCTGTGCATGGCCTCGCCCACAGCCCCTGCTTTACTGATCCTGACCCGTCCTTGGACACATCCACCCTAACTGGCCAGCTCGGCCTCCCCCTGAGCACCCTGTCCTCTCCCTTCGCTGGGCCTGCGGCTCCTCCTATGGTGTCCCTGGGCCTCTGCTGTGTCTGTCCCTGCACTTAAATGCCCTGGGTGTTGCCGCCGTTTCCCAGTCTGTGTGCCCTGCTGGACCTTCCCCTTGTTCCCAGGGCCTGGCACGTGTGGGGCTTGGTGTGTGTTTACACCTTCCCCAGGCTGTGGCTTCTCCCTTCTCCCCAGGGCTGCCCCACAGACCATGGCGCAGAGGGAAGGGTCGTGGGAGTGTGGAGCCTCCTGGCGTGTTGTCCAGGCAGCAGGCAGGTCTGGGGTACAGCCCTCATCCCTCGCTCCCCCAGGCTGGGGGCAGCTGTGTGTTTCTTTAGCTAACGAGGACTTGCGGAGACGTGGCCTGAGATCTTCCCCTCAGGGTGGAGGGCGTCCTGGCCAGAGATGGTCTTGGGGGCGCCGTTCCACCTGTATATCCCTGAATGACTCTTGGAAGGATTTAACCTTCAGGCAGGAACCCCTCCCCCAGCCGCCCCTGAGAGGGTGGTGCCAGGGAGGTAGACCGAGTCGCTCTTGGGGCTACCACTTGCTCGTAGGAGACCTCGGCCTGTTGCATCGCTGGGACTCATTCCCCACACCCCGAAACCACTACTGCCCACTTTACGGCAGGTGGGGCTGAGGCTCAGGGTGGGGAGAGACTGTCCTGCAGGGTCTCACGGGATGACCCATGGCCGAGTGCCCTTCACTGCCATGCAGGTCCTTGGAGAGCGCACAGGAGACAATGACAGAAAACTCAGGCGGTAGATGCCCCAGGAGGGGATGGGGTGATTTGGGGAACGTGATTGCCATGGTGACAGAGCTCCACGGAGCTTGCATGCAGCTGGAACGGCACTGGCCGTTTAGTCTCACCGTTGAGTGGTGGCTGCAGGTGGTCTCCCAGGCAGCTCCCATGGGTGCGGCCCCTACAGGTTATTACCTGGGTGGTCTTGGGTGCCTGCCCTGAGGGTGGAGGCACAGCAGGTGGAGGAATGGGGGATTCAGCAGGCCCAGCAGGTGGGATGGGCTCTTTTCAGACC